GCCATAATCATCCCCCAAACATTGCCACTTTCAGGTCTCCTCACACACTGCTTGTGTTTTAAATTTTTTGACATAGGGTGCTGGCAGATTACGGGCCTCCCATAGCTGCTGCCAGGCCCCTAATCTGCCATGGGCCCCTATATACCACCTCCTCATGCTGCTGCCAGGTCCAGAGTGTCTCATGCCATGTGCCACTTTCAGGTCTCCCACACCACTGCTGGTGTGTTCAATTTTTTGTCATAGGGTGCTGGCAGATTACGGGCCTCCTATAGCTGCTGCCAGGCCCCTAATCTGCCATGGGCCCCTTATACCGCCTCCTCATGCTGCTGCCAGGTCCAGAGTCTCTCATGGGTCCCTGTACGGCCTCCCATTGCTGCTGTCTCCATCGCCACACTCTGGCCATGTGCCACTTTCAGGTCTCCTCACACACTGCTGTGGTGTGTTCCATTTTTGTCATTGGGTGCTGGCAGATTACGGGCCTCCCATTGCTGCTGCCAGGCCTTGTAATCTGCCATGGGCCCCCGTACCGCCTGGTCACGCTGCTAGCTGGTCCCACAGTGTGACCTGGGTCCTTGTACCGCCTCCCATTGCTCCCCACTCTGCATGTGCCACTTTCAGGTCTCCTCACACTCCTGCTGGTTTCCATTTTGTCATAGGTTGCTGTATGGCCTCCCATTGCTGCTGCCTCCACCGCCAACATGTGGCTCCAAACACTGGTTTTGGCCCCGATGTGACCTGGCCAAATGAGTGAAGTGTGCGGTGATTCTAAGATCGACGGCACTGCAATCTGCATGTCATACTGAGTGACAGTATTATTTCTCTTCCCCAGCAGACTCCAAGGGCATTTAAATTAAATGGTACAGTGTTTTACTGCACTAATATTAAGTCTCTCTGAAGCCTAAGAAAAAACACCCTTTTTTAAGTTAAATTCACAGCGAATTTATTCGACTCGAAAATCGAATTATTGTCCACAAAATTCGCCGAATCAGTCGAATCAAATTTCCCATTGAATACTTCGCTCATCTCTAACCTTACCCTTTGCAATAACATGTGCCCAACCTCACTTCCGTGCATCCGCACCCCGCCATTCCTACCCCCTCTAGCCCCCCCACCCCCCCCCTGGGGTAAGAGATCAGCCCCGAATCCCCGCCCCTCCACCACCCCCTACAACCCTGGGCCTATTTGCCTAGCATCACTTTGAAGCTTCTGGTGCTTACTCATAAAGATCGTTCTCCTATGGTCCTAACGGTATACTGGGTTGAACCTGTCTGATGGAAAAGGTGTCCCTTTATCTCCAGATGATACTCCCCTGTATTGTGAAGGTTGATCACAGTCATTGACTGCCAGCCCTAGATATTAATTCCTTTTTGGTACTATTTCATGCATTAGTAAACTGGACCAAATACAGGTCAGTGCTGTTTCCCCTAACCCTGTCAGCTTCCCTTCTGACTCCTGTCAAATAGGTATCCCAGTTTAAATGACCTGAGTATTGTTTGCCAGGTTCAAAGGGATCTGTCTAACTACTTGGCTGATAACTTCTCTATACATTCTTACATCAGTTTTACCCAAAAAATGTTTCCAAATAGGAAATCGTTTGCCCCCTACTTCGTCGGTAGATGTGAAACCTTTATTAAAATACCTATTTTGCACACAAAAGCTTTTTTTGACCCATATCCCAGTTGCCCATCATGGGGATAGCTTCTTTTTGAAAAACTAGAGGTAATTGTTATTACTCCTTTGGAATGGATTGGCTCCACCCCCAAGGAATAGCTCAACGTCTACCCTACAGCTCCCTTGACGGTAGTGGGGTTTAAACCCTGCCTAGTTTTATTAAAGGTACTATTACTGCGGGTACTAGGTAAATGGTGCTGTTGGTGGTTCGCACAAATTAAGTCCAATCCAGCTGTACATTTTGTGAGGGGAACTGTTCAGCTCTTATTCAGAGCTCAGTTAATCTAGTGTATAGGGAGCCTTACATAGTTACATAGTTAGGAATATGGCATGTGAAAAATAGACAAATGTCCATTCAGTTAACCATAAAAGCCTTGGTCTAACTAAAGCAAGTTACAGTCTGGCTACTGAGCGAAGGAACCACAGACAATCTCACCCATACACCCACTATGGGGTAACTTCTTCCTTGTTCATCAATATTTGAGGTCCGTATGCACATTCGCTAACAGGTCTGGGCTTAGGTTATGGCATCAGGACTCTGTATCATATCATTGCCTGAGGGTCACCTCATTTCCTTTGATGATTGAAAACAAATCAATTTCAACTACCCTAGGATGAGATGTTCTTCCACAGGTTTTTACAAGATTAGACATTCCGGTGCAGGTGCAACTTTCTGATATCACCCTAAAACTCTCATTCAGTAGAGAGGAGAAGTTTTTAACTGTATGATATATGAAACAGACCATTGGAGGACTACCATATTTATATCTTAGACTGTACAGAAGGATGGGGATGAGCACCAAGTCTACTCAGAACTATACCATGTATGGCAACCGTGGCTTGTCCACCTTAAGGACTAATGAGGACTGAGCATGAGAAGGATTTCAGCAGTATATTCCTCTAATGAACTTTCGGAGCAAAGATCGCCTAATCCAGCTTAAGTTTCTTTCACTCCCAGGAAAGACTGTCAGGCCATCTAGGAGAATGTCCAGGAGAGAACTGTCCTCAATGGAGAAGGATGAGGAGTAGAGAACTTTATTGAGGCAAGGCTCTGTTCCTGGATGTAGGAGAAGGAGAAGGATGTTGGCAAGAGAAGGATGAGTTCGTTGACAGGAGAACTGATTGAGGAGAACTGAGAAGGAGAGGAAAAGAGAAGACTGATTCAGAAAGCTGAGAAGGAGATGAGAAGGATGAAGGAAAATGCTCAGAAGAAGATTATTCTCTCTTAGTGAGAAGACTGAGAAGATCGGATGACTAAGTCAGGATAGAAGAAGGCCATGAGAAGAAGGAGAAGGTCCCTCTAAATCGAGTCCTATAGGAAAGGAGTAAGGATGAGAAGAAATTAGATAGAGATAGGGATGAGAAGAAGGAGAAGGAGAAGGATAGAAGAAGGAGAAGAAAATGAGAAGAAGGAGAAGGAAAGGATGAGAAAAGAGAAGGAAAGGATAAAGAAGGAAAGATGAAAGAAAGAAGGAGAAGGATGAGAAGAAGGAGAAGAGAAGGATGAGAAGAAGAGAAGGATGAAAGTAGAGAAGAGAAATGAAAGAAGAAGAAGGATGAGAAAAGAAGAAGAAGAAGAAGAAGGAGAAGGAGAGAAAAGAGAAGGATGAGAAAAGAGAAGGATAAGAAGAAGGAGAAGGATGTTAGAAGAAGGGAGAAGGATGAGAAGAAGGAAAGGATGAGAAATGGAGAAGGATGAGAAAAGGAAGGAGGAGAAGTAGGAATGGAGAAGAAGGAGAAGGAGAAGGATGGATGAAGAAGAATGAAAGATGAGATAAGGATGAAAGAAGGATGAAAGAAGGAAAGGATAGAAGAAGGAAGAAGGAATAGAAGAAGTAGAAGGAAGGATGAGTAGAAGGAGAAGGAGAAGGATAACGAAGGAGAAGGAGGAGGATGAGAAGAAGGAGAAGGAGGAGGATGAGAAGAAGAGAAGAAAGGATGAGAAGAAAGATAGAAGATGGAGGAGAAGATGGTGAAGTTGAAGGATGAGAAGATGTATGAGAAGATGAGAAGAATGGAGAAGGATGAAGGATGAGGAAGATAGGCAGAAGGAGTAAGGATGAGAAGTAAGGAGTAAGGAGAAGATGAGAAGAAGGAGAGAAGTATGAAGTAAATGAAGAAGATGAGAAAGAAGAAGGTAGATGGATGAGGAAGAAGAAGGAGAAGGATGAGTAAGAAGTAAAGGATGAAGAAGAGATGATGGAGAAGAAGGAGAAGGATGAGAAGAAGTTGATAGAAGGATGAAAAGGAGAAGGATGAGAGAAGATAGAGAAGGATGAAGGGTGAGGGAGAGGATGTAGAAGTAGGTAAGGAAAGGGATGAGAAGAAGGATGAGAAGTATGATGATAGATAGAAGATGGAGAAGGAGATGGATGAGAAGAGGAAAGGATGAGATGTAGGGAGGAGAGAAGAAGAGAGAAGGATAGAGGAGAAGGATGAGAAGCAAGGAGAAGGATGGAAGAAGCGAGAAGGATGAAGAAGAAAGATAAGAAGAAGGAGAAGAAAGAATGTAAAGAAGGCATGAGAAGAAGGCTAGAAGGAGTAATTAAAAGAAGAGATAGGAGAAGTGAAAAGGGATAGAAGGGAGAAGAATGAGAAGAAGGAGAAGGATGAAAGAGAAGGGATGAGAAGGATAAAAGAGATTCTTCTTGCTTCTTTTCATTCTTCTGAAGCGATTCTTCGGAGAAATTTTCAGTTCTTCCTCATTCTTCTTTTCATTCTCTTCTCATTCTTCTTTTCATGAAGAGAAGGATCACGATTAGAAGAAGGAATGGAAGAAGAAGAGAAGATAAGAAAGGAAGGAGAAGGATGCAAAGAAGAAGTAAGAAATTGAGGCAGTCAATGAAGAAGAAGAGAAGAAGAAGGAAAGGATAAAGATGAGAAGAAGAATAGATTCTTATAGGAAAAGAATAAAGAAAGGCGGGGAGATAAGTGTAAGTAAAAGCAGAAAGGGAAAAAAGAAATAGGAAGAAGATAAGTTAATCTAACAGGGAATATCTATAGGAAGGATGTAGGGAGGTAAGAAGGCTAAATTGCAGGAAAGAAAAATGACAAGAAGGTAAGATCATCACGGGAATGTGAAGAATAGAAGAAGGGGAATAGAGGGAGGATAGAAACCCAAAAAGGAAACAAATGATACATTTTTTTCCCCGCTGTAAATAAACTGCAGAACTGTCAAAAATAGCGGGTCTCTGCGTGACCTTTTGCCGGTGATGGGGAAAAAAATTTGATTCGTGCACCCGAAGTTTGAAAATTCGGATTCGATCGAAACGAATTTTTCCCGATATTTGAAACGAATTCCACTTCGCCAGGTTCGATTCGTCATCTTACTGGGGGACACTATAAATCTTTCCTTTGATTAGGGAGTATTGACCTTCCCCCTTTACAAGCACAACCCCCCCTTCCTTCCCCCCTCCACCCCCTTCTCATCCTGGGCCTTCTAAATTTTTTTCCCCGCCCCCCCTTCTCCTGGTCCCCCCTCTTCCCTTTTCCCCCTCCCCTTCCCCCCCTACCAGTCCCCTTTTTTGGGGTTTTTTGCGGTAATTTAAAGTCAAGATACAGTAGATAGTCTTGGTTATGCATATTTTTCTACTTTTGGCATTGATTAGTGTTAGTTTTTTGTATAGTCCTTGGTGATATTGTTGTTGGGGTTGGACTAAGAAATGTAATGGCTATTTTGGGTTTATATTCAAAATGCTTATTGTTTAAAAAAAAAAAATTCCCTGACAAAAGGGGAACAACTTGATTGACATCCCTCTGTTTCAATGTGGTTTTTAACAAAGTTAATGAAATTAGACAGATGGAGGCCCTAATGGCCTCTAACACTGGGGGGTAAAGTTTTGGCTTCCAAAAGCGACTTCTTTTACTCAACAGCCCGGATTTGTGAAACTTTTAGCTAATTAAAAAAGTCTGTGTCCCCACTTTTAGTCAGAGAGATAAAAGATTAAATTCTTCAAAACAAGGTAAGTTTCCTCTATTCCAACTTCTCTTGTCAACTCGA